GCCCAAATACACGAACTCATCGACCACCTCGGTTTCGTCACTGTCAATCTGAACTCGGGGTGGGAGGCTAACATTGTCTTCCCTAGAACATCTTCCATTCATGTATTTTGTCTTCGATGCGTTGATGGCAAGTCCAATCCGCCTAGTTTCAGCCTTCAGTCTGATGTACGTGGATGGACTTCCATTATTATATGAAACATTATATGTTGGGTACGGAAGAGTACAATTAGAGGTTATTAAACTTGATCAAGTCGAACAGCGAGGATAGTTCACAGCCGACCGATAGTTGTCTTCCTACAGTGGGTGATAGTTTCATATCATCATCTCATCAGAACGCTCGTACAAGATGGATTAGTATAGTCCGATAAACACTACTCACTCATGAAAAGTTCACTATTTTTCATAAGAAATACAATCAAAATTACGGTCAGATTTGGGCCAGTTTCATGCAACTGGAAGGTGTATGCTGGTCACAGTGGCCACTAATGTCTTTCCAAATTGATTTCCTACGCAAGTGACCAATCTTTGATTTGAATTTCGCGAATAAACACGAGGGGCATTTTTTTTAAGCAAAAATTGCCATACGAAATCCTCATAGTTTATATTAGTAAACAAATTAACAATTTCTTATTTGTGTGCCACCTCTACTAATTCATCTCGACGCTCGTATATTTTAGTCTTGGAGCACCTAGATTGACATGGGTTGTTCTAAGCTTGTACGTTGAGACGCACTGAGAGTGCCTGTGCACGTCTCAGCTGTTGACCAAACGGTTGAAACTAACGATTTTTAATCGGTTCACTACTTGACTTGGCCCCATGTAAATCGATTAACGTACCCCATTCTAATCGAAATTCTAGTACTACACCATGTTTGTTTTGATTCGCTATGCATGTTTGACAGATAAAATGAGGGGTTGGTGGATTTTCGTATGTTTCGAGGGGTGCATCGATTAGCTTGGGACCGAAGACAGTACCAGAGCTGAGTCATAAAAAATGAGTACGTTTCTTTGGGACCTTCTGGTCTTAGTGTTACCTTTATGTGTAGACGGTGACTAAAGGGCGAACACGAAATTATTGCGACACCGAAAATGTCATGCCAATTTTCTTATAATGTTTAGAATCAAACCAAAATTTTAGGGTAGTTTTATACATATATTTACTTCAAAAATCAAAAGAAAAGTTAATCGATGGAGCCTTGAGTGTAAAATTGAACGCATTTTCGTTTGATGCCTTCCATCAAAGTCTTTACAGTGTCATCCGGTACCAGTTTCTCAGTTTTTTTTTCCATTTTTTTAACATGACCTTCTCGTCTTTGACTGTCTTCTTGCTCTTCCGAAGTTCCCGCTTCATTATTGCCCAGTACTGCTCCACCGGGCGCAGCTCCGGACAGTTTGGCGGATTCATGTCCTTTGGAACAAAATGGACAGAATTGGCCTCATACCACTCCAGGACACTTTTAGAATAGTGGCATGATGCCAAATCTGGCCAAAATAGCGGAGCTTCGTCGTGCTGCTGCAAGAACGGCAAAAGGCGCTTCTCGAAGCACTCAGATTTGTAGATCTCACCATTTACTGTGCCCTTTGTCACGAAAGGCTCATTCCTCAGTCCGCAAGAGCAGATGGCCTGCCAAATGAGATATTTGGAGGCGAACTTCGACATTTTCTTCTTCTTAAATTTGTCGTCCACATCGAACTTGCTCTTGCCGGTGAAAAACTCCAACCCCGGAATTTGCTTAAAATCGGCTTTTATATACGTTTCGTCGTCCATCACACAGCAGCCATATTTTAACAGCATCTTCTCGTAGAGCTTCCGTGCCCGAGTTTTAGCCGTCGATTGTTGCCGCTCATCGCGGTTTGGGAAGTTCTGTACCTTGTATGTATGTAGTCCAGCTCTCTTCTTTGCATTCTGGACGTAGCTCTGCGACATGCCGATCTTTTTAGCCAAATCACGGCTTGAGACGTTGGGATTTGCTTTTATCATCCGCTTCACCTTTCCCTCCGTCTTTTTGTTCTCCGGTCCCGGTTTTCTTCCAGCTCCTTTGCCGTGGTCCAACGTCAACCGCTCTTGGAACCGCTTCAACACTCTGGAGACGGTTGAATAGTGAATGTTCAACATTTTTCCCAACTGCCGGTGCGACAGGTCAGGAAATTCCAGGTGTTTGGAAATAATTTGTTCTCTCAACTCGCGTTGGTTCACCTCCATTTTCGTTGAATCGAAAAACACGACTTCAAGTTTGACAGCATGTACACAATACACATCAATGAGAAAGTGTGCAAAATTTGGTTGATTTTTACCCAATGGTAAAAAAAGTTATGCCCTGTTGAATGTGTCGCAATAATTTCGTGTTCGCCCTTTACATCTCAGCCATTTGACAGGTCTTCTGCTCGGTTTGGATGGCGTTTTCCATGCCGTTGACAGATATCCGGCTGTTTCAATTTTGACGTGCCGTCACTCTAGGTGCACTATTTATTCGAGAAATGTCCATATATTTTCAAAAAGAATGAAATCCTAATGACTGACACTATGGAACTACTTTCTACGATGGTCAGAACAATAATTAATTTAATTTTATTACAATTCAAATCATACAATCATCAATCATAATGGATTACCTAGCACTTCTACCTCAAGGATCAGTTACTTGGTGGTGCCATGTCTGTCGTCATCGACGTTTGTTCTCGCTGCGTGTGCTACTCCGTCAGCAGATTTGGTAGATGTCGTTTGATCACCGATGAACCGACGTTCCAGCTCAAAGAAGGTGCATTCAAATTCTTGCCCAAGACGCCATATTTAAAATACGTTAAACACTACCGCCATCTACTCATCTGATTGCGTTATATCGTTAGCAAGGACATTTATATTGACTTGGTTTGCCTCTCGCCTCATTTGACAGATCTGATCTCCCGTTTGGCAGATTGAAACGCTCATTTGACAATTCGAATTGTGGACAAACGAAATGTTCCAGTGGCATGTCGGTTCGTCGGAGGTTTGATGGCCTGTTGCTTGGTAAAGAAAGGATTGATTGGCGTTGCATTTGTTGGTATGGTTCGTGATTGTTCTTTCTAGCGTGGTCAAGGCATTTGCTAGCTATTGTTGTTGGTTATGGTGTAGGTGATGGTCTAAGTCTTTTGTCGCTGATAAAGAAAGGTGTTTGACTTATGTAAAATTGCATCATGTTGTATTTTGCCATTCGTCACGACTTGGAGCCTTCTGCACTTTGTACGTATGCAGTTCTTGGTTCTCTGAACTAAAGACTTGGACAGATTAAACTTTTTGGCCACATCCCTGACCGAACCATTGAGATTCCGCTTGAACGCTTTCACGACACGCTTGTGGTCCTCATCACTAATAGAACATCCATTATGACCGCATTTCTCCTTCCGTTCGATGCTCAGAGTTCCGTAGTAACGTTTAATGATGAGAGAGTTGAAGATTTTCCAGGTGCTTGTGCAAAATCAATTCGCGACGTTACTTTTCGGGTGACACCATTTTTTCTAACTTTCGAAAAACTGACAGCGATAAAAATACAGTGTAAACAACACACAAAATACAGTGTAAACAACAATAGAAATTTACACTGTTATTTAAAAGTGAGTAATTTACAATAATTTTGGTGAACTTCACGGGAGACAAGGTCCCGTTTCAGCACACTCAACTCGTATTTTTGTTATGGTTCTACTATGAAATACGTATTTCGAAAACAGTCCCACAAACCACCCTATCACTTTCTGCCAAGTTGTCAGTCCGGTTGTCTATCAAACTCTTACCACGGACCAGCCCCCTTAACCGAGTGTGTGCGATCTCTGAGCGCCTCTAGAAAAAGAAAACTCCAACTGAACAAAAATACACGCCAAAAATCCGCAAAACAACCTCCATTGAACGCTTGATAAACATTGGCCTACGTGCCGCCTACTCGGTCGTAGGATTACATCGTTCTACCGGCCACCAGAATCAACTGATCAAATTCGGTGTATTTGCATGGTCGTTGAGTCTGACTCATATTTGTGTTCCATTTACTCAAATTCGCAGCAACGTATGTCATTCATAGACTGAGTAGCATTTTACTAAGTCTATGAGTGACCTACGTTTTTGCGATTTTGAGTAAACGAAACACAAATATGACTCTGATTCAATGGCGAGTGTGAATGTTTGACCTAGATGCTTTCCGTGAACAAAGATTGCTAATTTGCAGAGGATCTCTAGGTTATCGCAGCGTTGTTGCTGATAAGAACCGATCTGGTTCATCTGAGGTTTAATTCATTCGAATGGAAAGCAGCAGCAGGGTGAGGTGAGTGCACCCGGCTAATAATATGTGTGTTTGGATTTTGACACCACAGCACAGCAGGTGGCATAAATAAAGTTGATTGAAGCAATTAGCTTTAGATAAGATCGATGCTAGTTCTAATTTGTAACAAAGGATTTCTTATCGCGGCCGGTCTTAATCGGCGATAACGAGCGATGGAATTTGAAATTTGAACCCCGAAACAAGCCGGGCAAAGTTGAACAGACGAACTAATTTGTGTAAATGTATAGTGCAGCAACGGTTGATGATCCAGTGGCCCAGTTTTTTTGCCATAACCTAATTCAGTCAAACTTGATTAAAATCGAACATTTTAAATAAAATATAATAAATCGCAGCGCAAATCCGTTCTCGCCGAGGTCAAACAACTTGAAAATTGCGAGGACCGAATTCGCCAAACACACCTACCTACACAGTGAGGAAGGCTGAATCATTCTACCACAGACAAGCAGATGTACTTTGACGTTTCTATACATTGCATAGAAGTTATATGCAACATTGGTAAGCAGGTTTTTATACCGCGAATAACTCGCAAGATGTTGTTAGTGATTCCGTGACGGTATTTTAAAGGAAAATTTATTTAAAGTATTACATCTGATTGCCTGTGACTCTACCTCCGTCTCGAACTCGACTACAGAAATCCACTCCAACCTGTTTATATTGTATGATAATTCAGTATTTTTCCATTTCTCCTTCGCAGATTGCACATTCAAAACTCGAAACCATCACCATTCATCGCCAACAGACAGAGCATACCGTGTGTGTGTGTGTGTGTTGAGGATTGTACCCCTTTTTCATGGTTTTAGCAACAACAAAAAAAAAGGAGTTCACAATCAATAACAACAACAACACAGAACCAACCGTCGATTAGGGCAAAATAAAAGTTGCCCCATCATAAGCGACAAACGAAAAGGCGACAGACAGGAAGTTTTGGCTCAATTCGAGGAAAATACAAGAAGCGATTACGATTGAAAGCCCAAAGATAGCACGGTTCTGGAGAAGGCGGATTTTGATCGAACAATTGCGATTCTGAAGTTTCATGGACACAATGACGATTTCAGGTGAGATAAGAATAGTCATTATTTTTTTTATATTTTAGGAAGTTGTTGATTGGTTGGGTAATATCCTGCGATTTCGTGATGGAGAATTGTACGAATATGTTTTTGTATTTCGTCAGAAGGCAAAATGATCCGAGATGGTATCAATTTAATTTCTTTCAATTTCGATAAATCATGCCATGAACTGTAGCAATGGGTAAATTCCGATCAACTACACACTAATTCAGCGTTTAGTTGAACTTTTACTGAAAATCCACTTAAAATCAGACTAATAACTGATAGTAGTAGTAGTAAAATTATGTTTATTTCTGTTGATTATGATAGTACATTGAATTAATATTTTAATTGATTAGCCTACCTGGCTCTTCATCTTTGTTTAATTTGATATTTCAATTTAATATTTGAGTTTTTCAACTAGTTTACAGAATACCCCTTTGGGGGGGGGGGGGGGGGTCGTTTTGTTTGAATTGAAAAAAGTGATAACCTACCTATGATCACGTATGATCTGATGATTTGATCTCAGACAGGTGTCTCTGAACCTTTCCAGGATGAAAACTCTCGGTTCTTCTAATGTCTGAATTCCAGCCAGGAGGTGGATCTCAGAATTTTTAAAAAAACTGTTTAGGACCATCCTAAGGATCTTATTCTGGATCCTTTGGACTTTAAAGTGATGCCATTTGGTGCAGCTCGCCCAGATTGGCATCCCGTATTCTATTACGGGAAGAATGATTTGTTTGTAGACAGCAAGTTTATTTTTCAGGGATAGAGTAGACCTCCTGTTGATGAGTGGATACAGTGATCTTATCAAGATGTTGCACTTGGTTTTGGTTTTGTCAACGTGCTCCCTGAACATCTCCTCCATGTTCCATATACTCCATATTCAAGAACACTGCGGACCATAGAGCAGTACAGCGGTTTCAGGGCGTAAACGTCGTCGAATTGTGCAGTATTGCGGCGCAAAAATCCTAGTATAGAGTTGGCCTTAACCGTAGTTTGCTGTCCAAGATGAGCCCAATATCCTTAATGGCATTAACCCTTTCCAGCGGCGATTGATTCATAGAGTAATCAAAAATGATTGGAGAGTGAGAGCGGGTAAGGGTAATCACTTTGCATTCGGCAGCATTGGCTTGCATTCCATTCATCTGACACCAGGATGACAATCGCTCTATATCAGCTTGTAGTGCGCAACAATCCACGATCGTTTTGATCACACGGTACAGCTTAAGATCATCCGCATATAGCAACTTACTGGAACTTAGCATATCACACACGTCGTTAATAAACAGAACGAAAATGAGAGGTCCTAGGTGACTCCCTTGTGGAACCCCCGATGGTATATGGAATACCTCGGATCTGGAATCGCGTACCTTAAAGAAAGCCTTCCTGGATGATAAGTATGATTTCAACCAACAAACGATCCAGGTGGTTTAGCTTCATAATGGCTAGGTCGTGAGGGACTTTGTCAAAAGCCTTAGAGAAGTCGATGTAAATGGAGTCCACTTGCTGACGCTTCGCGATGCTACCTATATGAGTGTTCGTTTAGTCATCAAGTTAACGCTTTTTCATGAATCCATGCTGAAACTCTTAGATTATGGCTTGAACAGCTGGATACAACTTCTCATGCAGAAGACTTTCGAGAACTTTGGCCAAGCAGTTCAGGATCGAGATAGCTCGGTAATTTTCCACTTTGTGCATGTTACCGGACTTCCAGGCATCCGGAAAAACGCCATCCCCAAGCGATCGATTGAAAATAGACATAACGGGAGTGGCCAACGATGCTGCACAGTTCTTGACGAAAGACGGTGGAATACGGTCCGTGGAGTACGGAATACGTGGAATACGGAGATCTTATTATTCAACGACGGAACAAGTCTGGGAGATTTAGAGTGTGGAAAAACGATGACCTGGGTCTTTGCCACGTTGATACGGATCTTCCAGCTGTTGAAATATCAAGACAGGTCGTCCAGGCCTCCCTGAAGTTTGGCAGTTAGAGCTCCGATGACCCTACCCTTGAAGACGATGGATGTGTCATCTGCGAACAGAGATAACGATCCACCATCATGGAGAGCCAGCATATCGTAGGTTGAATATAATAGGGCCAAGGATGCTTCCTTGTGGAACCCCAACACCGATGTTGAAAGCATCCGATGTGATCCCATTGAGAGAGACTCGGAACGTCCTACGCGATTGATGGTTGTTTATTATCTTCATAGGATTGGAAGACCGTACTGCTGCAATTTGAACCACCATGCCCGAACGCTTTTTCAACGTCCAACAACGCCATGGCAGATGTTTTCGAAACAGACTTGTTCCGTCTGAGAATGTTTGTTACTCGAGTCAGCTGGTGGACGGTCGAACGACTTTTCCGAAAACCAAACTGTTCCTCGAGTAACAAGTTGTTTTCATCGGCAGATGTTAGGAGCCGGTGGTACAGTGCTCTTTCGAACAGTTTTTATAACCCTGAGAGAAGGCTGATTGGTCGATAACTTGAAGGAGAGGACGGATCCTTCCCAGGTATCCGGATGGGTATGACTTTAGCTGACTTCCAGCACGAGGGGAGGTAGCCATGTCGGAAGCACAGATTAAAAATCAGTGCCAGATGGATGTAGAATCTGGAACTCAAATGTTTGAGTTCCAGATTCAGGATGTTGTCGAAACCTGGGGCCTTCATGTTTTTAGATGATTTGATATAGGCCAACAGTTCGTCAGTCGTAATCTCGGATTCCTCGGAAAAAAATATTGGGAATCTGATGGAGGTTGGTTGCATTTTCAGCAACCTCAGATTCATGAGGGCTGACGATGTTTTGTCCGAGATTATGGGAGCTGACGAAGTGTTGACTTATGGCGGCAGTCTTCTCTTCAGGAGTTATCAGATGAACCACTGGGTCGCCGGGACTATCCAGTGGGGTCAGTGGTGGAATGGGTCTTGGCTTATTTTTAAGAATTTTGGTTAGTTTCCAAAAGGGCTTAGCACAATCTGGAAGAGAGCGGATCCTGTTAGCAAAGTCCTGATTTCTGAGGTCCATCATCCTGGCTTGGATGGTTTTTGTTAGGCGATTACAGTGGATCTTAAGGACAGGCAGACCAGAGCGTTGGTACTGCCTTCGGATGATGTTACGGAATCTGGTAGATCTGTCACGGTTCAGAGTATTGCTCACCTATCTGGATACTGACACGTGTTGTTCCTTGGCCCGGGATATCACCTCCTCGATGGAATGCAGACACCGGTCAACGTCTTCGGGCGTCCCCGGAAGGATACCGTAGTCGACAATGGAGCCGACACAGTGTTGGAACTGATCCCAGCTGACGCGATGGTAGTTGCGTCGAGAAGCTTGGAATCGGTTGACGGATGAGCCCACATCGGCCACCACCGGATAGTGGTCCGAACTCAGCTCCTGGTGGGTCACAGGTTGCGAGATGTTGTCTCCCATATTGCTGACGAAGATGTCGATGGTGGAGTGTACGCCAGACCGGCTCCAGCGGGTGGGAGAGTCCGGCGCTAATATGGTGTAGTGAGCCTCTTGCAGGTCGTCGTTCAGGATTGTGCCGTTTTGGTTGCGTCGACTGTTGCCCCAAGCCTGGTGTTTGGGCGTTCAGGTCGCCAGCGATGATGTACTTCGCACGGCGTCGAGCTAGTCTGATGATGTCTCTCCGCAGGTCTGCTGCCGACCCGTTCCTGATGGTGGCTTGTTTGGGACAGTAGGCCGCAATGATGGTAATAGGGCCGACAGGAGTGGAGACTTCCACACCCACCGCTTCGATCATCTTCAGCTGGAAACTCGGTAGCAGTCGACAGCCAATATTTCTCCTTAATGCGATAGCAAATCCTCCTCTGCAGGAGCTGGTCCGGTCTAGTCTTACGAGACGAAAATCGGGGAGGTGAACATTTATCTCCGTCTTCAGGTGTGTTTCGGTGATGACGGCGATGTCTATGCTATGTTCATTGAGGAAATCAACGAACTCAATGATTTTGCACTTGAGCGAGCAAGCATTCCAGTAGGCTATTTTGATGACCTCAAGGTCCATATACGAGGGTCATAAGATTATGATCACCTCAGTCACGAGGATCACTAGTTCGTCGCTTGTGAGTGGAGAATTTTCTTCTGACTCACCTGACACAGCACGGGCGTACGATAATCCCGGGGCAGTAGAGCCATGGCTCGGCTGGGCCGCAGCGGCAGAGAGGCGATGCTGAACTGAACGGTGGCTGGGACCCGCTTGATCTGATGTTGGATTCGTAACGGAGGGAGCGCTGGTTTAATGGAAGCGGTGCTAGGTTCGGGACCATACGACGAGCCGGAAGTACTGGAAACGTGTCCATGTTGGCTATAAAAGCACGATTATTGCGGTGTCGACCAGGTTGGTTCCCCGTGGAAGCATGTTGACGGATATGGATGAAGGCCGCTCGCTTGGGACATCTCCTGTCGCTTCCCAGATGGTTTGAATCACAGTGAGCCCCAGCACATTTGCCACAACGAGCCTTCATGTGAAAATTCTTCGTACCGTGCCCAAATGCCAGACAATTAGTGCACTGTGTCACGGCTCGGTGCCGAGGGCGATACTGCTCCCAGGTACAACTGGTTCCGGAATGCACTGGTTTCATCACGTCTCGCAATGGGAAAAATATTTATTGGTTGCAGATGAAGGTGCTCCAATTCCGCTTTAATCTCCGCAACAGGGAGATTTGGAAGACCACGAAAGGGACGTCGTGAAGAAAAGTGCCAACAGCGTTGTAGTCCGCCAGCGTCGAGTTCAAGATTTTGATCCCCGTGCTGCACAGCATGAACAACGGATGTATTTGATTGTTTGCCAGCTCATTCCTGAGCAACGCGAGTTCCTTCGTCGAGGTGAACAGTGGAAGCACTTTTTCCCGTTTCTCAACTGGATCTATATCTACTTCTTCGGGGAGTGCCGAGAGCGGATTACTCTGAAGCAACCTTTCCGTGTGGTTGCTGGCAGCAGCTTTCTTGCGAGGCTTGTTTCTTCAACGGGTGAGTGGAGGC